GGAGTTGAACCAAGGACATGTTCATTTGCAGGAGTTGTTGTCGGACTGAGTCACGAACAGTAGAAGAGGAATCGAACTGATGATGTATGCCGCTATTAAAAAGATCTTTAGTTGATAGTCATTGCTTTTGTTGAATGTATGAGTTGAGGAACGAGGTCAAGTACGGAAACTATGAGGTAAAAAACTTCAGCGGTGAGCATCTAGGCTCGAAACCGGTACCTACCAGCGGCCCCCGTACGGAAGTCTGTTAGTAGGAACAAGTTGAAGAGTCGCTGTTTTTTAGTTCGCTAGCTGAGGTAACACTCTTTTCGGTAGCAAGTCTAATCAAAGGCTACTAATACTAAGTAGTCCTAATGAATGAGCCTCTCCAAGCGTCGAGACATAGACGGACGTAGCGTGTGTAGGGCGTACCCTCGCTTCTCGCGCACGCTTTGTGATTGTCGAGTTTGACATGTGTATCTTTCGTTGTCAATTCCATTGTCTCGTCAGTTTTGATGATGTTGGTGTTTGGTTTCATTTGCGTTCAGTCTGTGAGCGAACTCTCTGTGTGTATCGCCCAAACAGCCGCACGGATGAGTAAGTGATTACTACATTGATCTCACCTACCCATCAAGGTTACATCGAAATTCTTCACCAAATTTAAAATAAAAAATAATATTTAAAAATATTTTTTTTTTTTTTTTTTTTTTTTTATTTCTTTTGCCCGGTCGGGCAAGTGACCCCGGGCCACTCTGGTAACCTAGTTTTAATTCCCTTTTTATTTTTTCTTATTTTTATCATAGTGTTTATTTTTTGTATTCGATTTTTAATTCAAATTTGGTAAAGAATTTGGATGTAGTTCCCAGGCAAATGTTATTTAGTTTATTTTTCTCCATAAGATATCTTTTTTCGAAATTTTTTGAATTTTTTTTTTTTTTATTTTATTTTTTGGTCCGCGTTCGGCATGAGCGGCCGAATGCCTTCCGAAGGGGTCCCGTACGTTCGGGCGTTCGGGTTCGGGCGTTCGGCCCGTCCCGAACGCCGACAACCCTGTATATATATATATATATATATATATATATATATATATATATATATATATA